TGTATCATATGGTTTTTTATATCCTTTTTTTGGGGTGTTCTTCTGTAGTTTCCAGGTATTAAAATTTTATAGTACTGGTTTTGCAACCATCCGATACTTCCTTAACTTCAGTCTTAGCTTGGTCATCACCTGAAGCCCCATCAACACCTTTTTTCGCATATTCGGTGAACCTTCTGAATATTTTATGCATGCGTATGTGAACGATCTGGGTTTCTGTTTTGGCCCAATGAAGCCTATGTAACCTTGTGGATGCGTTTGTGGGCGAAAATGTTTCTATGTTGCTGGAAGCACATGCATCTACCAGTTTCTCACTATTTTTGTCCTTTATTTCCCCATCCACGTCACATGATGCTTTCATGCCCGGAATTGTCTATTCCCACTTAAGGATTTAGTTCTCCTACCAGAGTGGTTAGGTCCTGTTGTTAGTACTTCTGTAGGACAGACTGCAATCTCATGAATTCGGTCTTTATCGTCCTCACTCCCATCATTGACTGGTGTGTGTCATTGGATAAAATTAATTGCTTTATTTTCCTTCTTTGTTTTAAAGGATGTCTCGACCATAGAGCCATAAGTTCCCTATCTTATTAGCGCGTTCCGCTCTTCTTTGGGCAGTGTCAGTAAAACTTTTGTATGATGCATTTCCTTCTCCGTGACTGGAATACAATAACGATTCTCCTGAAACCAATCCTTTTTTATCCAGTTTTGTATAAAGTGTGTCTCCGAGTTGTATCTTTTCATTTCTGTAGCTGTTTGAATGACTCACCTGGTCTCCCACATTGTCTGGACATCCCTTGTACAAATATTAATTGTTGTGGCCGCCAAATAGGTCATTGACCTCGTGGCTTCTGAGGACCCGGTTTTCATTACGTGTCATAAATATTTGTGAAGGCCCTTCAACTACCAGAGTAAAGTTTAGTTAGCTTATGCTGGTTTTGGATTGTGTTTATGAGGTAGGGTTACTAACCTTACGCCTGACCCTCCTTTAACAAATCTTGGGACCACCATTAGTCCAGGCGGGGCCCAGATGGAATTATCTAAACTATTGACCTCCATTGTGCTTCGTAGGTTGTCAAAAACGCTTGAAAACTGAATTGTGAGGAGCAGAGTGGTTCTGGTGCACAAGAGGTTTACCGATTTTCTGACAACTGATCAGTCAGTCAGTAACAACGTGGAACTTCGTACGTACGTACATCAGTTCGAGTTGCCATACCATATTAGCACAGAGATGCAGTTATCGATTCTAATCCCGTAGTGGTAGAGGTAGTAAGAGTATAAGCATTAATCGGAAAGATTAGGGTTTGAAGATGTTATTCAAAGAGTATAATTCAGTGAAATAAATTTGGAAAGAAAATAAAGGACACGAAGAATGCATCCACAAAGAGTGGATGCACCTGCGCTATTGCAAACGACTTTGAGCCATGTCATTCAAGGTCTCTAACCATCGGTTGCTGTCATCTAGCGGATCCCAACCAGGCAAATCAAGTGATAAAGTAGTGAAACTTCATCAGTTGAGATGACTGGGACACGTGTTACGCATGCCCAACCACCGACTGCCCCGACGTGCGATGTTTTCTGGTGTAAGAGTAGGTTGGAAGAAAGCTAGGGGTGGCCAGACCAAAACATAGCACAAATCCATGAAGTCACTGACAAGTGGATTGAGCCATGTTGGTAGGTGTAGACCACCTAGTTGGGATCCGCGAGATATCATTCCACGCTGCCTCGGGGTGGGCATCACCTACATAGCTGCCTAACTTTTTCTAGGTGTTCCTCAAATATACTCTTAGCTTGACTATCATTAAGTAGGACCTTAACGGGTTTCCTTGCATCATAGTTACTACGTCCATTAAGACGTAGACAAATACGCGCTCGCACTACAACATGATCTGAATCTAAGCATGTGCTCCAGAATGAGCGGCAGTCTTCTATCGAGCCCCTCCATCGGTGGCTGATAGCTATGTGATCTATTTGGGTCCAACGTTGGGACGAATTCTGGGGTCGCCATGTCAAAAGATATTTTCCCTTATGCCTAAAGTTAGTGTTTGCAAGAAAAAGGCGGTTATCTGAGCATAGATGCAACAGACAGTCGTCATTATCTGTTTCTGAGCCGCGACACAATAAGATCCACCCAGGTGTCTTTCTCTTCCGCTTAGTTTGCCTACTTGAGCATTCAAGTCACCGGCCACTATTACTACATCAGAGCGCCTAGCTTTTCGTCTGCCCTAGCGGTGCAAGGTGATAAAGGGACGTGAGAAGGGTTAGTCGTGGAGATAAGAGGATTGTCAGGAGGTGTAGGAAGGATTTGAATGTGACCGACTTGGTCTCGTGTGCTGTTACGGGTATGAGGGCTGACATCACTTCCCGGCTGCCCACACCGTGGAAGGGTATTTCTTGAGGAACCTGAAAAGGAAGTCGGATTAGTGTTGGTCTTAACGATCTGGGAGCGTGACCACAAAGCCCAAGGGACAACTGCTTGAGGATGGTCGCGCACGGCCTTTTTGTGGGAGGTTTTTAATGTGTTAGCTCCGTTATCCACAGGGCCTTAACGCCGGAGACGGAAATCCGTGAGGTATGACATTTTTAGGGTCGATCTTTTCTAACCCCTTCCTTCCTTGTGAGAAGGCAGCATCGCTGCAGATGCTGGTTGTCCGAGGGAAACACCTTACTGTTGTCACACCTCTCTACAGTCAGCAGTACGACTTCGCCCTCAGACCTTGAGTTGCTGCCTTTAGTCTTACCGTTCTCCAATCGACCTGCCTGGCATGGTAGAACCTACAGGAACATATGTTCCAGCCAATATAGCTCGGTCGGGTCATCACGATAGGCAAGCCCCACCACCGCGTCAAGGTAGCAGCTATGGTCGGGCCTGACAACTGATACGAACACCTCAGGTAGAGTAAAAGCTTACGACCAGCTCTACTCACTATCAAATTCCAGCAGTGCTGTTATAGGGCGTTGTTCAGCCTCACCATTCCTTTTCAACTTTGCTGCCTATGACATTCTGTAAATAGCTGTAATGAAAGTAGGTCGCGGTGGTGTAAATTTGTTGCTTGAAGAAAAACTTTCCGATCTTGAGTATAGGTATTGTCTTGTTTTAATTCCGATAAACTTCAACCTATGGAAATCACACTTAATGATTCAGCATTTAGTGTCCGTAAGTGTGACATGTACTTTGCATCTTCTTAGTGCAGAGTGAGTCTGAAAGACTGGGAGAAACCTGTCTGCACTCATTGTTTATGATGAACGATTAGAGATAGTAGAACAGTCCGTGTATCTGGCTAGTTGTGTGTGTTTTTGGTTGATTAATTGATGAAAAACAAGGAAGTTTACGTCAATGTGACCCATCTTTAGCGTCATTGTGATGCTAGTCTGGATGAAAAATGTCGCGTCAGTTGCAAGTCAGCGAGACCAATCCTTCCCTACTCTTACGAAGTCTGGCCTTTCTAAGCTGAGCAAACACAGAACTCAGTAGCAACATGTGTTAGTTATACTGAAATTAGACTATATGTGTTTGCAAATAGTACTGATGGCTCAGTTATTGCCAGCATCTTAAAACACCGGCTTTGGTGGCTTGGACTTGTGTTACAAATGTAACCCCAGGAAATTCCTCATTGTTCAACAATTGCCAACTATAAGATGATGTAGAAAGAGCGGAGAGTTGGTCATTTTACGATATGGTGCTGCGGTATGAGAAGCCGTACAGGACTGGCATCTGTCAGTCCATCACGACTCCCTGGTTAGGGTGTTGGGATTGGTGCAGCTCAGTGGTTTGAAACATTCTCAGACATGGATCAAAATAAAAACCAATGGAGATCATTGCGGTAGTTTGCTTTTGAATTCTTGATAAAAGATTGAAGGAACTCTCTTTGCTTGTGTTTCCGGCTGGATTGCACCATCATATACTAGTCTCATTCAATTTTATTATTTGATTTGTTTCTGACTATACCTCTTAATCTTCATAATGTGACCGACCTCAAGCAGTTGTCCCTTGGGCACTGCGGTCGCGCTCTCAGGTCACAAAAGTCTCCCCTAACCCAATTTTCTTTTCAGGTATTTCTGGAAGAACGCTTCCACGGTGTGGGCAACTGGGAAGTTATAACCGCCCTCATACCTCTAACAGCACTCAAACGTCTAGCTTTTAATCGTTTAGCCACAGTTTCGTTTGACATTGGAAACGGTTGTTCCTATGCTATCTAGTCAGTCGGCCATAAACAATGTCCAAGTTGTCTAATCACATCACATCGAGATGAAATTATCAAGAAGAATACCAAACTAGTAGTATTGTGTGGTGTAATTGGTATTAATGAAGACTACGTATAGATGATCTGATTCGAAAAGTAGGGTTAATGATCCAATTAAGAGGTATAAGGTAGTTGTAAAACTTAAGATCTAAAGGAAAATAAAAACTTGAATGCGAGTGCGCCACTACGACCGATTTCAAACAATGTCACCTAATGTCTATACTCATTGGTTGAGATAACCTCTCAAACCCCAACTAAGTAAACTACATATGACAACTCGGTCCAGTCTAACAGTCAGTGACCTCATGAAGTGTTATTTAGTACTATTTTCTAAGTATAATTTCGTTTATATCTATACTTGGACATCTTATTTCATGTGTATTTGGTTTCACAGTATCTCAATTCTCAACGGTGCTCCTACTTCTAGTTTTATGGCTGCATATAATTATCGGAGTATTTATACTTATTGTCAATGACTGTTTGAGAGTATGGTATATTTGAGAGGCGATTAAAGTGAAATTAGTTGCATGTTGATGGGTTATAACAATAATTTACATCACCTTAGACTTAATTTACTAGTTCTTAATCAATTTGATAAAAAGTGCTTTCTTATATTTGCTGACAGACACTAATATGATTTAGTTTATTAATAGGTGTTCCAATTAGATGACTTATAGAATCATTATTGAGTCCTCATAACTGGGTTCCATGAATATAGTTCTCTCGAAGCTAGCGTTCTATTCTTTTTCCTTCAACAAACAGGACTTTGAGTGTGTTGAAGATGGGAAAGATCGTGGTAAGAATGTCCGTGAGAAAGCTCGTCATTTGAGTACGCTTCTTAGAGATGAGGAACGTTTGCACGAAGAACGTACAAAGGCTCTACTAGCACGTGACCGTTTGATGCATGGGGGTTTGGGAACTACGGCTTCTGCTGGAGATTCACCGGTTAAATATGGTGTCCCACCATCTGGTCGTAGTAGCTATCCTATTGGATATTCTGGCTCCAACTATTTTGAAAAAGGAACCTTGCCTTCAAGTAAGTGTATTTATGTTTTTTTTTAAATTTTACCGACAAATTTATATCCTATTGGGACGCAAGTGTTCCAATAAAATTTACGAATTAGTATAAATAGATTATAAAATTAAGTATGGTTGTGGACAACATCAGCACCTACTGCTAATGTTTTATAACTATCTTCGCCTATGTTAATGAACTTCGACAACTGGAGACAATTCGATTGAGGAAATTTCAAAATTACCAATGAATTAAAGCCTAAGAATGAAAAACACCTTTTAGAAGCATTAATGTTCAAATTGATTTGCAATCATTGTCTACGTCAACATGGATCCACTCTGTCAGTTTACGAGCATAAAGTGAAACAATCATATAGTGAAAGGCTAACTAAGGAAAACATTTTATGGGAATGCAGCTGAGCACAGATGTAACAAGCGCTTTTAAAATAAGCAATCATTAATAGGTTCGGCAGAGCGAACTAAATTGGGAGTTCCAGGATAATTCTACAAAGATTACTTCTATTTACAGTAGTAGAGTAACTAAACGGATTACCATGATAAAAAATGATTTCTTCTTAACAGTACGTCAGTCGACATTAAATACAGTTGTCTCAGTATTTTGAAGAAATGGCCATAAGACATCACTTAGTCTGTGACTGTGGAAAGTTATTTAACAAGAATGCATTTCTTTATATACATATTAAACCTACGTAAAATTAAAGCGAAACACAGTTGAATGATTCATAGTTATTGGCCTAAGTGGAGGATAACTTTTGTAATTAATTTATTCAGGCAACGTAACAATATAAATCAAACCGAGGAGTATAAAAATGTCGACCTCACTGATTAGTAGCTTAAAACGTTCATTTATAATTTACCCACTTGCTTTCAGATAAAAATTGCCAATGAAGCTAAAATTTAATCATTTAACTAAGATAACTTATCATCACTTATCTAAACTGTAACTTTTCACATAGATATTCTATAATAATAAATGTATATATGTATAAATGTATAGTGATCGCTTATATATAACGAAAATACAAAGTATGAAAACTTCTTGTTAAAATTTGTCAAAACCTATCAAATAAGTATTGACTAAATTGAATTGCCTGTTAGCATTGCATGATTTTTTGGTTGAATGTAAATATGATTAATAAGTAGCATCTTCACCTCATATATATATGCTTAATTGTTTTCTGATCCAGATCGCTTAGTTTGTTTTGTAACTTACTTCATGTTTGTATGTTGCGTTATTCGTTGTGGCTAAGTAAACATTTCGGGTTTTTTTTATGTAATTCTGATCTGTGATAGTATTTCTCGAAGTCTAGCATAAGTCATTTATAATGTCTCAGGTAAACTTATAAGCAATTCATATCACTTGATCCAGTATACTTATACTGTCTATGCACAAAGTCGTGATGCTGGCATTGGGAAACTGTTATTTTTGGAATTGAATATTTTACTGAGTTCGGATAATATATCTTAATTTTTAGAATCTGTTTCTCATGCCGCAACTGAATTAGATTCCGTTAGACCTCAATCTGCCGGAGAAGAACAATTACATCTTCAACTTGCTCTGGCTATCAGTAAAGAGGAACATGATCGAGAAGAACGGCGGAGACGAGCTGAAGAAGCTAAAGAAGAAGCCAAAGTACAAATGGTAATAGAGCAGAGTCGTCGAGAAGAACAGGTAATTACTTATTTTTCGTTGTTTTTAATTCTACGTATATCAAAGAAAGCAAAAAATATCCGGGCAAACAACTGTTTCTTGTAACCTCTTCTAACTTCACATTTATAAATTTATCAACAATGTGTAACATTAAACAGAATATTAGTGTTTATTTTATTTTATTTGAACACATGAATATTGGTAGAAGAGGGCACCAAATATGTATGCGCCACACATTTTCATTACCATTATATTTGTGTGTGGGCTATGATACTGCCCGAGTGCCCAGACCGAAGCAGGTGGTTTTCTTAGGGGCCACGCCCCGAGCCTTTGACCAAAAGGTCTGACCCACAAGGCAGTGGAACATCATGAGGAGATGCAGTCCCATGGTAGCCGGTGACCAAAAATTGGTTCATACGCCATTTGTTCCCGCAGAATACTGGAGCCCATGTGCACCATTGGTTTGGGATCCGGTTAAAGCGCTCGGTTATAAATTGAAAATAGCGGATGTCAAGTCGATTAGGTCTTAATTACCAGCAAAATGTATCATTGGTAAAGTTGACATCATGCGAAATGGATAAGAATAATGTATACACATATCATATTGGTGTGATTGAGGATACTTTTTTTTCCTCAGTTGATTTTAGGGAAATACTTTTTTTATTTTTAGAATGAGGGTCTATGGAAATTGTAGTGATTTATAGATAGTTGAATTCATGAGTCGATTAGTGGATGTGCACTACTGAGGAGTTCCATAATAAGACGAAACGGCTGTCCAGTGCTTCCAGGTTTTCAATGGTGGTCTAGCTTACATCGAATCATGAACCGAACTATTAAAAGTGGTTTTTTGTTTCGTTTACTCTCTTCCCTTATTTTGGAAATTTCAAGAGAACTCATAAAAGTAGTCCTTTATTGAAGGGGACGTTTTGGTTGTTAGTATTGGTCGAAAAAATTGAACTCAACTTCCGGGTGTATCACACTTAAGTTGGCTTCTACCTACTCTTCCTTTTATTTTCTCTCTTTATGGCCTACATGCCCACTCTTACTGTCAATGATGCTATTACTATTTCATTTCATTTAATAATCATCGCTTCAATTTCGTCTTGGTGTGCTGATGTGGTATCGATGCACACTTTCTTCAAGTTCTGCATCTTATTTATTTATTTATTTGAACACATAAATATTGGTACAAGAGTGCGCCAAATATATATGCGCCACACAAAACAATGAGAATCTAAGAAGAAAAAAAAGTGAGGAACCTAAAAAAAAGAAATAATAATAATAAAAAACAATAACGAAGAGATTGGTGTAAGGTAGTGTAATAATAATAATAATAGCAATAGTAGGGGAACAGAAGGGTACAATCAGAAGAAATCTTTCAGTTAAGGAAGACACAACCACTTTTTATGAAGAAAGTAAAAGAAGGTTACAGCAGGATCACCACTGGCTTCTATTCTGAGCCATATCTGATAACGTCTCTAGCCACTGTGTCGCACCATCTCTTGGACCAACACAAGCCAGTCCTTTGCAGCTTTCTTTCATACCACGACACCATGTCATGCACTGACCACCTCTCCGCTTCTTCCAACCAGTCCCAGAGTCGGCAAATAATGCACGACGTGGAATTCTCTGTGACGACATTCGTAGAACATGTCCAAGCCACCGAAGTCGGTGTTTCAAGATGGTGACACCAATTGCATTATCGTCTCTGTACCCGAACACACGATGCCGAACCTCTGCATTACTAACATGATGTTGCCACTGGATGTCAGCAATCCTTCGGAGACAACGATGATCGAACACACAGAGTCGTCTAACGTCCTCAACTCGGAGAGGCCAGGTTTCACAAGCATAGAGCAAAACTGCTCTCACCGACGCGTTGTAGATCCGGCCTTTTACAGCCAGACCAACATCACGAAAGCGCCAAAGGTGGCCCAGATTGGCATAAGCCGCTCTGGCTTTCACTGTACGTGCATTGATCTCATCACTCACATCCCCATCAGCACTTATACAGCCACCTAGATACACGAACTTCTCGACTACTTCTATCTGCTCACCATCCAGAGTGAGTACAGGATTAGAATCCTGCCAGTCTTGTAGAAGTAATTTGCACTTCGAAGATGCAAAGCACATACCATACCTACGGACACTGATTGCCAACTGATTAAGTGCGGATTGCATGCCTTGGGCATTATCGCACAGTAAGACAATATCGTCCGCATACTCAAGGTCGAGAAGTCTTTCTCGAAGCAAAAGATCCACGCCGCCATTACACACATCCATCAGAACTGTTTCCAGAATGTCATCGATGGCAAAGTTGAAGAGGAATGGTGAGATTGGGCAACCCTGCCTAACCCCACTGCTCGAATGGAACCATGGAGAGAGGTGGTTGTATGCCCTCACTCTGCCTGAGGTGTTTGTATATAGGGCTTTTAGGATGTTAATAAACTTCTCAGGCACACCCTTCTTCAATCGACAATCCTAGAGAACAGTCCTATCCAACGAATCGAAGGCAGCCCTGATGTCAAGAAACACTACGATTGTTGGCCTTTGATAAGTATGGCGGTGTTCTAACATTTGGCGGAGGGTGAAGATATGATCATCAGTTATGACTGATGGACGGCTTTCTAACCATCAAAATGTGTTCATCAGAACTTTTTTACAATTTACGCTTGTACACATGGAGATCAAAATTAAAATGTTCGACATTTTTCCTGATCAACAATCTCGTTCACTTTTCACCTCGTTCCTTAATACTCTAAGTAATACTGTTCGTAATAGTTACTGAAAATATGTATGTATCTAGTTAGTGAATTAGCTCACTAGTGACTTCTGTACTTGTACAATGTTAAGAGTTGTCGTCGATATGACTGGATGATAATTCTAAATTGTTGTAATAAACTCGTATATAGTCTGGTGAACAAAGAATTTATACACAAAAGTAAACGGAGTTTTAAAGTAAATCTAATTCAGTTTCTCGTATCTGAGTGGTATCTCAGTGGTCTAATGGTTAAGTGCTCGCGCGCGAAGCCAGTAGGTCCTGGGTTCGAGCCCCGCGTGGTGCGGGATCGTGGATGCGCACTGCTGAAGAGTCCCATACTAGGACGAAACGGCCGTCCAGTGCTTCCAGGTTTTCAATGGTGGTCTAGCTTCAACTGACTCATGATTTCAATCTGTGATAATATTTTGTTTGACTGTAAAATCTTCGAAGTAGTATTAGACATATATCTGGTTTCATGATTTTCAGTTGGTTGTTAAGACTTTATTTGTGTTATGACCTTGGATGTCGGACTTTTCTATCACACGATTTATCTACCAATCCGAATACGACTTATACGAATCTTCACACTAGGCCAACCAATGACGTTCAACCGGTGTGGGCAGTTAAGCGTCCTACGTCCTACGAGCCCTTCCACTTGAGTACAGAACACAACACCAGCTTCCGAATCAGAGCAGATCGTTTATTTCAGGCATACTTGGTTTATATATCAATCACACAGACCGCAACGTACCATAAAATAGGAATTAATATTTGTACACAAATAAGCCCAAAAAGTGGATGTGGGAGGCAGTAGTTAATAAACTGAACATAACTTAAGAACCGTAAATCGTACAATAATAAATTATAGGCCAAAATAAAGCTTGTCATAAGAGGGATATAAATATACATAATGTAATTGTTGCATAGTTATACAATAAGAATATTTATAGAATATTAGTCCATGAATAGTCCTCGGAAGTTACCTGTAATTTAATCTCCACTCGGATATAACAATTTGTACTCGCTTAGATTAAACTGAATAGATAGATTCTGATTTCTAGAAATGATTTTATTTAGCTTTTTTGAAATGTTCACTAATCAACTATAATTGAAAGCTATGTACAATTTTATGATGGTTTCTTTATGATAAAAATCTTATTAGATCCTTTAACAGAAATCAGTTATACTACATTGATATAAGAATAATGTTATAATTCAAGATGTGTATTTCGTTGTGTGTACAGTTTCATATTTTTTCAGGAAATACTGGTTAGTCAATCAGTAATATATATATATATATATTCATCTACTTTTTGAGAGACTATGTTACACTCCACGGCGGGGTGTGTTGTTCACGAAATCGAGGGGACGAAAAGCGAATGTCCGGCGCTTTAACCGAGTTGGTGGATATGGAGGATCCACTTATGGAAAACCCTGATTCCAAACCAATGGTGCACGTGGGCTCCAGGATCCTGAGAAAACAAATGGCGTATAAACCTGTTGTTGGTCACCAGCTACCACGGAACTGCATCTCCTAACGTTGCTCCACTGCTTTGTGGATTATACCTCTAGGTCAGAGGCTCGGGAATTGGCCACCTAAGAAAATCACCTGCCTCGGTTTGGGCGCCCTCACACAAATCGAATGACAAAGTGTGGCTTATATATATTTGGTGCTTCCTTGTACCAATTTTTGTGTGTTTAAATAAATAATAAACACCCACTTGAATTCATGAATCATATCTATTTGACATAAACTTAAGAGTGTTTCCTGTTATTTCTTTATTCATTTTTGTTCAAAAATTTTATCATATTGGTGGTTTCACTTTAAGAGATAAATATCTTTATTGTTTATGTGAATGTTTTTTATTTAACTAATAATTGAGATAGTCAGGAAGAAGAAAACTATAATAAAATGATCTTTTTAAACTTATTTACATTCTTTTATAAAATTTTCGAGTGACATAGTCGAGGATTTTGAACAGTAACACAGATGTATTCACTCCTTATCTTCGTTTCGATCTTGAATTCCACTATTCCTTCGTACACACCTTACTACTCTGTCTTTTCGAACCATATTATCAATGTTCAGTCGTTTTTATTATCATTGCTACCACATTATGTCAACTCATTTATTATTCATTTTATTAATTTGATTTCGTCGTCCTAATATGTTTTGACATCTTTGGTTAGGTACATCTGTGCCAGAATCTATTTCGATGAAACTGACTGAAATCCTTTGGGGATAAACTTGGGATTTTTAAGCTTTATATAATTAATAGTAATTCTTAACTTTATTTGGATACACAAGTTTCCTTGTATCTGATAAATTTGTCTCATAAATTATTTGACTGAAGTCATGTTTGTAATCCAATTTATCATCAAGTTGATTATATTCCTTTAAACCTTTGAATTAAAGGATTAATACTGTTTAATTATGTTATCATGTTCTCACTATTTAATATAGAAGGATAAGTCAGGTAAACATTCAGTTTCCAATATTCCTTCTGGATCTAGTAGTGCCTTTGAGCCACCAAGTTGTGCTCCTAGTGGTGGATTATTCAATTTAGTTGATACTTCTTTATCAGTTGCACCAGCTCATTTACCGGATCCATGGTCTGCTCCTTTAGCAGTTCCGAGCAGTTCGTTAAATAATAATACATCATCACCTTCTCCATCCACATCATTTAATAATACCAATATACCACAGTCAACTTTTCCACTTATCCCTATTGATGATCCTTGGAGCCCGAAAAGTAACTGATTTTTACTGTGTACTTTTATTTAAAATTTCTTGTTTGATTAAATGACATATATAACTCGTTCCATATACATACAAATTATTTGATAGTGTCATGATTTAATAATCGAAACACTCAACTCCCAACTATTTAGTTTACAGGCTGGAAACTTCCACCACCACTTAATATTAATAAACATCATATATTTGATGTTTCTTAAGGCTGACTAAATGAATTTATACCTGATTGCCGAGTGATGTAATGAAAAAATTAGAATTCATACTTGTGATCCTACCTCTTTATTACCGGGTACGAGATAATACGGCCAGCAGTATCAATAGTTGCTGATGCTAGATAATTAAACCCAATACTAGACTTGGCACTCTATCAACATACTAGGTAACAGAGTGCTAGAAAAATCACGGTATGCACACAGTTACACAATATCCGGCTTACGATTAAAAGTCAGATTGCGTTAGACAATAGTTCATTGACGTAAATTACAGATAAGTCAATATAGTTAAATCCAAGTAGAAATAAACCATTCTAATATTCATATCAAAGTAATCTGTATATTTGTTATAGCTCCGATGTGTACCTCTGTTTACTGACCAATCACGGCTCAGCTTCACCTGACGTATCAGTGGGTTGCATATCTTAGTATTTGGATTTGCCTTCGTTGATTGACTAAGCTTTAGGTATAGAAACAAAGAAATAAAGTTGAAAAGTAAAACTATGGGTTATGATTGTTATTTGAACTAATGATCTTCGGTTAACGGACCTCATGTACTGTCGACTAGCTGATGTACAAGATCGAACTTTCAGTCAGACAAAATATGCCTTGTTATAAGTTTTTTATCCGCTAGTATTGTGTTTTTAACAGTAGTATGTTATTATTTGATAAACAAGATTGACTTACAATTGTTTACATTCATCCGAAAATATATCTTATTGGCAGAAAATTGCTTTTTTATGATCTCTTGGAATGCAGCCTAATCATGTTTAATTTCTCTACTATACCAGCGCAAAATGTACACAATTTTTCATCCAAATAGCATAGCAATTTAACCAAAAGAGGTAACTAACAGGAGTTACTGTACTGATCGTTTCATATAAACGACTGTACTGAGTACAAAAGGAAATAGTGTTTTATTAACCGTTATCCAGATGTTTGTCATTTTGTCGACTACTTGTACAATTAGTGATCAGTTTGACAAACCTCTAAACGGAGTCCTATGTTATCGGGTTTTAAACATAGATTCGTGTACTAGATAATGAATTATGCCGTCTTATTGGAATTTTCTTGGGCGGAGAGTATCAAAAATATTTCGAACATTCTACCAATGTTCGTAAACCTCAACCATTAAAAAAGTTGTTTGTAAAAGTTATGACTACATATATTATGATCGGACTATGTCGTACAGCTCTTTTTTCGTGTTTATGTATTTTACTTAGTTGTGTCATAATTCAGTCGCTATAGTTTTATAATTTTTTTAACTGGCTTGTTAGGGGACTGAATTTGGTATATCCTGAAAGTATTGCTTAGGCTTGGTAATATTACTAGGTGGGTAATAAGGATGCTAAACGTAGGATACTGGGTAAGGTAGATAGTTCCTTGAGTTCTCAAACATTTATCAACTATACAAGTGTTTGGGGCATATTTACCACATCTCCCTGCTTTAGTTAGTGCAGACGTCTTCTTTGGGAGGCGTACGACAATCGTACTCAATTGTTGGAAACCTTAGATGACGTTGCTTGAAGTGCAGTAGCAACAATGAAGATACTTTCATTTCTTATTTCTTCGGTTTTTCACCATCGTTGATATGATTGTTCTTTGACTTCCTTGATTTCCAACTTGTTAATTTTCTCTTTGACTGTATTATTATGGGGTGTGGCCACTTAGCTCGGCGCACAGTTATATCAGGTCTTGCATATATTATAACCAATTGACGGCACTATATAAGAATAATAACTTCGAAATAACTGTGAACTATATTTTATAAGTACTTATCGAAAAATATATTTGTAAGGGTTTAATATTATCCAGCTCTTGATACTTAAAAATTTATTTGATCAGTCTTTTGGTCATATGTGCACCATGACCGGATGCTTCAATATTGCTTACTGGTAAGACGTTTTCGTGTCGTTTTAGCTAATATTGAAGTCTAAGATGTACCTTTGGTCCAATTTTAAACTCTTCAGTTATACGCTAGGTAAGGTCCAAGAAAATACCGAAAACACAGATTTGCAGCCCCTTATATTTACAATGGCTTGACCTAGCTCCTACATTGATGCGGCGGTGGGGCTTGCCTATCGTGATGACCCGACCGAGCTATATTGGCTGGAACATATGTTCCTGTAGGTTCTACCATGCCAGGCAGGTCGATTGGAGAACGGTAAGACTAAAGGCAGCAACTCAAGGTCTGAGGGCGAAGTCGTACTGCTGACTGTAGAGAGGTGTGACAACAGTAAGGTGTTTCCCTCGGACAACCAGCATCTGCAGCGATGCTGCCTTCTCACAAGGAAGGAAGGGGTTAGAAAAGATCGACCCTAAAAATGTCATACCTCACGGATTTCCGTCTCCGGCGTTAAGGCCCTGTGGATAACGGAGCTAACACATTAAAAACCTCCCACAAAAAGGCCGTGCACGACCATCCTCAAGCAGTTGTCCCTTGGGCTCTGTGGTCACGGAGATCATTTGTAGCTCGATTGGATGCTTTTGGTAAAGTTTTCTGATCTCCAAGTAACCACTGATGGTGATTTTGTCCTGAACGACAATGAGAGGTTCATAGTTAAGCCATCTACATAAGAACACCCGACATTACTATAAAATTGTATCTTCGATTACCGATGTATTTAAGCAAGAAATTGGTTGAAATCTTCCAATTTTTGGACGCACTTCAAATATACTTTATTTATGGGACTTTTTGTAATGATGTAAATCGTTAGGAATTCTAACAGATAGATTATTTTTTTGTAGCTAGGTATCATATTTATATCACCGAATACTCAGCTTTTGTTTCACTTTTCCAATAAATGTTAGTATCATTCAGAAAAACGTTACTATTCTGCAAAATATCATATTATGTTAATTAATATTGTGTTGAAACCAACAGTTCGGTGGTTAAAGGTTTCAAAGTTTTAGATCCTTGAAGTATACTTCAAGTTGTTTAATTTGTTTGGGCCGGATAGTATCCCTGACCGTTGCACGAACAATGTGGTTTAAAGTCAACTAAATAAAAACCTGTATTTTGTAAATGAGTTGCAATATTTTTAAACTATCTATATTTTCAATAGATCAACCAAATATTCCAACACATTCTACAACAAGTAATTCCGATGAAATGTGGAATTTGGAATCAACCTTAGGTGCTACATTACCGTCCACTTCTAATACAAACACCGAGTCAGTTATTTCTAACCATCATCATCATACCAACAGTGGTAGCAATCTCAATAATAACAATGGGCATTTTGATTTTGATTTGAATGGAACTTCAAATAATATGAATGATCAATTTCCGCAGCAGTTTCAACAGCAGTCCATTTTTCAAAATGCACAAACATCTTTAACTATAGAACAACAACAACAACAACATCAAGAACAACAGACTGTACGTAAACGAACTCCTGCTGACTTTTTAGGTGAACATCAGAAATTAGTTGACTTGGAAAAGCTGATTGAAAAAAATCCAGGTAATTCCTTGCAAAATTGTTTTATTGTTTACAATCTATTCACATGTTTGATTTCTTAAATTTTACTGGTTTAGTGGTAGTTAATACACTTACTCTATCAATTTATTTATGGTATGGATATCAGTCTCGATTTAAATAGCTCGGTGATGGTAATCTTTTGTAATTGTGACATCGGGTAACAAAGGTTAGAATTCCATACGGTGCATGAGCTCCCCTGACACTTTAGATACATCTTGTTGACAAGTGGCAACTTTCATGGACTCCTAAACATACTACAACTCACCAAGTACAGTCTTATGTAGTAGACTTTGACCCATATACTGTTTGTATGAGGACTATTCGGTTGCCCGAAGCAAAGCAGGTTGAGTGCGGTACGAACCTCTGAGGTGCTAGTTAAGTCTAGTAACTTAACCATCAAACTACTTGTCTTTAATCAACTTTAAAAGTAAACTATCGACAATTCTCATCTAAACTGAAATTAAGGCAGACTTCTGGTTCTTTTTTGATTCACACATCCCAGATGATGTTCTTGATTAGACGACAGTTCCTAAAAATTATGTTTTTAACTGTACGAAAAATCCTGCTATCTATTTTTAAAGTTTACATATTTAAATTGTGCAAATGAGAACTACGAACCTATGAAATCATGATAATTGATTACTACATTAATCTGACCTCTCAGAAAAGTGTAGGTAATTATTATATCTGACGAAGATTAAATGAATAGTAAGTGCCTGGATTAATTTACGGATTATTATTGTATATACCCTTATTGTATAATTATAAAGTAACTAGATTATATATATATTCCTTTTATCATGGGATTTCCCTTGACCGATTAGTTACTTTTATGTTATTTACTACTCTTAATCTGCTGCCAGCTTATTATTCTCAGTCCCCCCTACTCATAGTCACTCTTCGGCTCGATCACATATAATTGTTGTTTTCCATTTTATGATGTGGTGTGGTCGAATATGTTTGTATATAAAATACGCATGCTTGAAACAATATTTGTGTGGTGGAGGGTGGTTAATTTGTTCTGGACTCAACGGGCAGAGCAGGAAGAGAAGCTACCGTATCGGTGACCAATATGGACTTGGCAGTGAATCAAAGCTACGAGTCTTGGTTGGCTTAGAAGCCAAGTGATAGAAATCAAGATTCTGAATTGTTTTTTGTCACATGATATTAGTGGTGCCTATAAATCATAACAGTAAAGTGAGGTAGAAATCGGTTATAAAACATTATCTTTTCATTCTTATACTGATCTCTCAGTAAGGCCTCATAATTGTAACACTCATTCAATAAACGGCACTTCACTCACAATTAGCGTCTTTGCACGATCGGCATTTGTAGTGTTTATTACATTTTGAACCATCATGTAGATCAAGTCTCTGGTGCGCCTATCAGTCTTTAGACTGTCAACATACCGAAGTAGCGGTAAACCAAAATACTTTCCACAGTTTAACAGAACCTTTAAGTATTTATTTCAGTTCATGCAAACGGCTGTGAATACAAATCTTATGTTCTTTATTATGGATGCTTTAAAAATGTTGTATGGAAAAGTCAGCAATTAATAGGCTTTGATCTTCAAATAATTCAACAAACAGATGATTACTCACTTTATTATGGATGTATCAAAATAGTCGATCGATATAAGTACAAAACAGTCAAAGTAAATTATTAGAAAGCCTTAAACCTAGGTTTCCTAGCTAACTGATATTCATCAGCTATTTGAGCGTTGTATTACATAACTCCTCATTCAAATGGGCTACTAGGATCATGCTGACCTTTTCTCAACCGGGATGATTACAGTTATCGGTCATGGTGTGATTACAAATATTATTTAGTTTGCGGTACTGACTAAAATTTCTCAGTCATGTTACAAGTCTCATCAGCCCTTGTGGTCTGGTGTGTGACGAAATCTCAGCACGGATACAGAAGGCTCGACTAGCTTATGCCAACTTGCGTCATTTATGGCGTAGGCGAAATGTCCGTCTATCAACCAAAGGACGTGTTTACTGCGCAGCAGTTCGTCCCGTCCTACTTTATGGCAGTCAAACATAGCCGGTAAGAGTAGAGGATATTCGTAGGTTACTAGTATTCGATCATAGGTGTCTTCGAAACATTGCTCGTAATGTGCAGTTGATTGGAGGTCTATATCTTACACAAGTGTAAAACATTGCTCGTTTATCATGGGACCATCGCGTAAGTAACACAGTTGTTAGGAAACGGGTACTAGGTAAGGATGGCAAACCAATTGATGAAGTAGTGAAACTTCATCAGTTGAGATGGCTGGGACACGTGTTACGTATGCCCAACGACCGACTGCCTCGACGAGCGATGTTCAGTGGTATAGGAGTAGGTTGGAAGAAAGCTAGGGGTGGCCAGACCAAAACATAGCACAAATCCATGAAGTCACTGACAAGTGGACTGAGCCATGTTAGTAGGTGTAGACTACCTGGTTGGGGACCACGAGATGATAGCAACCGATGGTTAGAGACCCTGAATAACATGGCTCAAAATCGTTTGGAATGGCGCAGGTGCATCCATTCTTTATGTTCTACCAAATTCTAATCTTCTGAATTCTTCATGTCCTTTTCTTTTTTCTCTTTTCAAATTTATTTCACTGGATTATACTCTTTGAATAACATCTTCAAACCCTAATCTATCCGATTACCGCTTATACTCTTACTACCTCTACCACTACGGGATTAGAATCGATAACTGCATCTCTGTACTAATGTGGTATGGCAACTTGAACTGATGTATGTACGTACGAAGTTCTACGTTATTACTGACTACCAACCGCTTACTGTCTAACAAAGTGCACTATCATGTCAAATCGTTCAGTTTTAAGTTTTGTTACAAATTTCTGTTGCATAGAATTCACTCAACAATAAGAACTAGAGACCAAAGCATTAATTACTACCCAGTAACCAGGTAGTTTATGCATAAACTATCAATTTTATGCATCATTACCAAGATAGCTTAATATTTAACCAGTTAGAAAATTCCCGTAGTTCTTTCAAACAAGCATAATTATTGAAGGTTTAGTCAGTTGAATATGGTATCCACGTAAAACTATTGTTTATTATTGAAATGACAATTTGATTGCCAGATAATTATCGCCCCAATTCCCCTTGTTGAATAAACATATGTTTAAGTGACTATGTCAAATGCTCCAAGTATGTATTTTTCTTTTTGAAGTCCCACATGAAATCATACATGTTATTTGATTATTCTGAAATAACTTCATTATATGAGAATTATTGCAGACGATTATTTTATTTTACTTGGTTGTAAGTTTACAATTATTTCCACTATGTGATGAACATTTTGAATATTTACTTATCCGTGTCACTAACAGTTTGCACGTTCTTTGATTGTTTTAAATTGATTAATTCATTCTTTCTAATAATGTTACTATAAAATCATTTAATGATTTTTGTCATATGATACTACTGTTTTCTATCTTAGAGCAAAGTCTACTTGTCTGATTGAAAAAATAAAACAGATGATAAATAATTTGTGTTTGATTATGCTTAGATAGTTAGCTTTTTTCTCTTTATTTAGCTTAAATAATTCTCAAATAACGGTTACTACTATTATTTATTATGCTGCTTTTAAGTAGTATATACTTTACATATTCACTTACAGTCTTCTATCTCATATTATATGAATTGATCCGAAGTAAATTTATATATATATTCATACAAAGGGACACCAAAATATATATTCTCCACACAATAAAAATGAGATTATGAAGAGATAGAAAGGAGAGTGTGTATAATAAAAACAACAAAAAGGAATAAAAATTAGTGTATGGGAGTGAGATGATAATAGTAATGAGAGCAGCAGTTTAGTCTAAAAAAAATACAACCAGAAAACATTCTTTCAGTTAAAGAAGTCTTTCTAATTTATATGAATAAATTAAAAGAAAGTTACAGAAGGATCGCCACTGGCTTCTTTTCTGAGCCATGTCTGATAAAATCTCTAGTCACTATGTTGCACTACCTGTAGGACTTCAAATAAGGGGTCATGAAGAATCAACAGATGCCAGTCATATACAGATTCCTTTCATATTACGACACCATGCCATGCACTGACCTCCTCTCCACTTTTTTTAACCCGTCTCAGCACCAACTAATCATTGATGTGGAATTCGTTCGGACGAAACTCACAGTACATGTTCAAGCCACCAAATTCGGTGTTTCAAGATGGCGACACTGATTGAATTATCGTCAATGCGCACGAACATACGCATGAATAAAGTAAACAAAGGTAATAATAGAAACAGTGGATCATACCAGTCTAGATTATTAATTAATATTAACAGAACAGGTTCAATTTAAGAACAAAATATTTCAGAGCACGTCGAATTAGTTTAAATATTTGTATGGCTAAAAGCCCAGTGAACATCTGTATTTGCCTCTGTGCACTTTCGTGCGAAACTCCAAAGCTGATTTGATATGGAACCTACGATCTATCTCAACTGAATGCTTCTCAAGCTGTTTGCTTATCATGTCCTCTTATTGGATCCTTGAAATTCACTCGTTTTTTGTAGTTCGAACTGTTGATTGAGTGCTGATTAAGTGTATCGATACAACAAGTTGTGATGCTGTTATATCTTGACGAGAATTATGAATGATAACTTTTGAGAACTATTTATGGACTAATATTATACGTATATTCTTATCATATAACCATTCAGTAACTAGACTATGTATGTCTATACACCTGTGGCGAAGGCGAGATATCCGTCTGTCAATTAAGGGACGAGTATACTGCGCGGAAGTTCGTTCTGTTTTAATTTACGGCTGCAAAACGTGGCCATTAAGAGAAGATACGCGTGAGCGACTAGTATTTGACCACAGATGCCTCAGAAATATTGCTGGCGTCTGCTGGGATCACCGGGTAAGTAATAGTAAGGTTAGACGCAGGGTATTAGGGAATGATGGTAAATCAGTTGATGAGGTTGTGAATCCTCATCGACTGTGATG